GTGTAAATCACCTTTGCGGTGAGCGCAGCTCATCATCCCCCCTTTCCCCGGCGCGGGCGGGGATCGATGGGCGCCGGCCTGGGCGGCTGCCAGAGCCTCAACCCCCCCGGGCCGGATGGGAGCGTGTGCCGCTCCCTGAAACGCTGGGAGCACCAGCCAGCGGGATAAAGGACGCACCGAGCCCGGGGGGGTTGGGGAGCAGCACAGGGTGGGACACGGGGGGCTGCTCCCACAGGGCCTGGATCCCTCCTCGGCAGAGCCACGAACTCATTCCTTATGCTGTGGGAGCCCTGCCCGCCACCTGCTCGCTCCCGTTCCATCTCTCCCAACGCCCGGGTGCTGCCAATACCCAGATTTAATGGGATTTCGAGGCACAGCTCGGTGTCCCTTCGGGGTGGATGGCAGTGGGATGGTCCCTGCGGGGACGAGGGCTCTGGTTTGGGATACTGGTGCCCACACGTGCACTGGGAGGCAGCTGGACCAGCAGCAGCGGCTGCCTGGGGACCTGCCACCCTCCTGGGACCCCGGACAGGGAGCGGGTGGGGGGCTCCGGTTCACTTACGGGTCCTCCTCTTCCTCTTCGTCCAGGCTCATTCCTGACCCTGGTGTCCAGCTGATGCTTTGAGACTTCTCCTCCTCCCGAGCTCTGCCCCACCAACCTGCTGGGGTGGGTGATCTGGGAGACCACCCGCCCGTCCTGCCATCCGGCCCGAGGGACCCTCCGCGGCACCGCCCCGGCCTGCGCGGCGGGACCTGCGGGACAGGGACAGGGGTGACCCCGGGGGTGGGACACGGGGCTGGGACACGGGGGGATAGGGTTGAAGAGGGATGGGGACAAGGAGGGACAGGGACACGGGAAGATGAGGACATGGGGGGATGGGGATGAGGAGGGGTAGGTACACGAGGGAATGGGACACATGGAGACGGAGTTGGGAAACATGCTCTGGGGGTGCCCCGAGTGTGGCACTGCATCCCGAAGGGGACACCCGTGGAATGCGGAGGGTGGCTGGACAGCTGGGGACGCGGGGGGACATCCAGGTACGCTGGTGTGTCCAGGAGGGGACATCGAGGAAGTACGGGCTGGGGAGTGCCCAGGGGATGGAGGGGACCGATACAGGAGCACGTCTGGGAGGGGAAGCTCAGGGGGCCTCAGATGCAGTGGCACATCCTAAAGGGGACACCCAGGGGACATGGGGGGGACTCAGAAATGCCATCACACCTGGAGGAAGGGTTAGAGGGGTTGTCAGCATATCATAGAGGGAACATCCAGGGAAAAGGGGGACTGGAATGGGGACACATCTGAGAGGGGACACCCAGGGGACAGTGAGGGCCAGGCTGGGGACGCCACCCAGTGGGAGATGGAAGACCGGTATGGGGACACCCCCCAGAGGGGACATCGAGGGGACAGCAGGACTGGTGCAGGGACACCTTCGGAGGCGACACCCAGGGGACACGGGGGTGGCCGCTATAGGGACATATCCCAAGGGGATGTGGAGAGCTGCTATGAGGACACCTATGGGGACACGCAGGGGACGGGGGAACCGAGATGGGGACACATCCTGGAGGAGACATGAAGGGCTGCTATG